ACCTACCAGGACTATACTACGGGCTATGACAATTTCAGTAGGTTATGGATGTAGGTTTAGAAATCACAAATGCAGTCTTTTCTCAAAAAATATGTGTCATAACTGCTCTAATGACCTTGAAATCCAGGGAACAACAGCTTTGCAATAAAAACTCAAACAATCCATCCCGAAGGCAATAAAACCCTGCATGCATGATCTATTCATGAGCTATAGTGGGGTACTACTTGGATACAAGATTATGTAATTATAATGCTTGAGTACTTTTTTTAAGACAGAGGAAATATTGATTGACTCAAAAGTATGACATTTCATTATTCACTACTAAAACAACGTTTCTTGTAAAATAACAAGTTAACATAGGATCATGTTGACCAGTGCATAATGTAAACTGCACTGCTTCATTTGATATTTTGGATTATTCTGGTTCATAAATTCCACTATCAATAATCGTAACTGCAATACATCGGACACAATTGGTGTTAAGATGCATGTCTTAACAATAGATAAATTGGAGTTGAATCCCACGAGTTGCCTCACTTTTGCTCACTAAACAGTCATGTGACCAGCCTTATTTGTTCACTCTCTCCTTACTTTTCTGCCCATGCACTTGGATCTGTTGTGAAATCCGAAGTGTTTCCAGCAGGGGAGGTTGGGAGGGCTCTCTCGTCATGAGTCAGGATAAGTATAAAAATATCAATTTTACTTGAAAAATTGCATATGTTTTCTTAACCTGACACATGATCCTTTGCTTATAGGAGCCACTTTGTCCTTTCATACGTCCTGTATCCCCCCCACCCACCCCCGAACTGCAAAACGGCATTTCCGTGATCCTATTCTTCCAACTCCCGTTATAACTCGGGGGCACCACTTTCTTGTCTTATGTCAGTCTCAGACTAGTTGAATCATGTTGATTCATGTGGCTACAGATAAATTCTTATTACTAGATATCTTATAACAACCCATAGATTATGATAAGATCTTTATCATAAATGAGTTGCGACCCCTTCACGTACAGGTAAGATCTTGACCCGTACAGGATGTTTAATCACTCATGCTAGCCTGTCCTAGACTGTGCGCATAGACTTTCAAACTAATACTCTTCTTAGTAAAAGTTATCAACAAGTCAGCGTGATAAAGGGTGAGAATTTCCAACTCAGCGCCTTTGAGAAACCGTTAGTTGCTGTGCTACAACAAGAGGCTCAAATTGGTGAATGCCTGAGACGTGTTCTGTGGCTATGTCGCGGTGGCAGTGGTTGGCAAACACTGTGTCCGACATCCAAAAGCAGCCCTCCATAATTGCTGATATAGAGCAATTTCCGTGCAGAGCCAGTGTTGACGCCAGTGCTCTGACTGTGTGTGGGTTGGAAGCTCCTGGTGAGCAGGAACGCTTCTGGATGGAGCATCCATTCCGTAGGTGACGGGTGCAGTGGTCAGGAGAGAACGTCTGCAAGTACGTTCTTGGCTCCGGGTATGTGACACACCTTTATCCAAATGTTTGCTTCCTCCATGATGGGGTACAACTGGAATGTGAGCTGTAAGAGGCTTGGAGACCTTGTGGATCCTTGCCGATTTATGGAGAATGCCACTGTAGTGTTGTCCATCAGTATTTTGTTGTTCAGAGAGCTCAACCATAGTTGTAAGGCGTTGATCACGGCTTTCATCTCCAGCAGATTGATGTGAAGATGCTGTTCTATATTGGACCACCTCCTTGATGCAACTTGATTGTTTAGATGCCGGCTCTTGTAAATAGGTCCCTCCACAAACGTTCGACCTATGAGTCCACCTCTTGAGGTTGTCTGGCAGCAAGATAGGGTCGACACTGTCTAGATGTTTTGTCAGGAACCGTTGCAGCGGTCTTAGTTGTAACCTTCCTGTGCGAGTCAAGTCCTGCGCCATAGTTTTAACGGGAGATGACTACTAGTGAAATCATGGCTTGTATCTTGACCCAACGATCTTCTGGGATGACAATACGATTCTGTGTTGTGATAAACCTTATCCCCCGAAATTGCAGATCTTGTTTTGGTTCCAACTCTGGCTTCATAAGGTTCACCTGCCATCCTAGTCGAGTCAGCAACTTGATCGTGAAGTTCAGCTGTAGTCTGAGTTGACTGGCACTTTGGTGAACCTGAATGCCGTCGTCCAAGTAGAAGGCATTGCACAGACCTCGATGATGTAGATATGTGATTATAGATTTGGTTACTCGTGTGAATAGCCACGGGGCCGAAGATATTCCAGACGGTAGGATGTTCCATTGGAAGTGATGCCTTCTGAATAGGAATCACAGATACTTTCTTGATTCTGGATGTAAGGGGATGTGTAGATACGCATCTTGCAGGTCTATGTAATCTGCTGGACGAACGAGTAGTCTGAGTTGAGGTAGGTGGATCATTCTGAACCTCTCTGGCTTCAGTAGATAGTCTTTGTTGAATTTGCGCATGTTGTAAATCAGTCTCAACTTCTCCTTGATGTTCTTCTTGGGTACTAGAAAAATTGGGGAGTAGAAGCCTGGATTTAGATGATGCTGATCTATTATCTCTACTGCCTCCTTCATAAGTAGTGAGTTGATGGCTTCTTGTAGTCTGTCTGCCTGCTCCTCTGCATAATTGAAGACCATCGGGCTGAGTGTTAGTGGAGGTGTGGCCTTGAGTTGTACAATGTATCCTTCTCGCAGTACTTTGGAGATGTAGTCGTCCTCTAGTGTTCCCCAATGAACAGGATGCAAGTAGACCTTGTTTGTGTAGCAAAGTGAGACCTGCTGATATAGATGCCAGATGGTCCGAAAAAAAGTATTGGTCCTTCTGCTGAGTTATGAGCGCCGAGTATATCATTCTGTCCTCTTCCGAACTTGAGTTCTGGAATTTATTGATCAATGCTTCATTTGTAGCTCTGGACCTGGCCAACCCGAAGAAGGATCTCCTTGTAGCAGTATCAAGTTGTGATAACTTCTTATCTTCCACTTTGTATATCTTGTTCCGAGAGTCGTTGACTAGTTTCATGTTGTCATCCCATTCAGGCGCCTTTACAAATGGATCCATATGATGTAGGGGGCATCTCTTCACAATAAATGATGGCAGATGCTGATTCTGGAATTTGGTTGCTTTTGCGAAAGCTGTGCGGAGGTTGGAGAGTACCTTGGATATAGGTTCAATCGGAGGGATAGTGACTGAGTCAAACTCGTCATCACACATCAGGTAAGTGTAGACTTCATCTTTATCCTTTGAAGAGACTCCAAGTTCAACCCGTTGGCAATCCAAGCTGTAAACTCTGGGTCAGGGAAGATGAAGTCTGCTTGCTCATCCAGTATCTCCTGATTAGTAGAGCTAGACCTCCGCGGATCATCTATCTGAGAACCTGTATCCCTTCTCGAACCTCCATCATCCTTTCACGAACCTTTGTCAGAAAATCCCTCCCTTCGCGAACGTCTATCTTGAGAGTCCTCTCTTCGTGAACCTCTTTCTGTAGATTCATCTCTTCGCGAACCTCTGTGATGTGAGCCTTCTCTTCGCGAACTCCTGTCTCGTGATGAGTGATTTCGCGAACGTCTGTGAGAGATATGAGATCTTGATCTAGAGCAGCTAGGAATAGGAGATGGATCCTTCGATGTTCTCGAATGTTGAAGGTTCGCAGATGTAGGACGGTGAGTAGGCAAGTTATGTTTTCTATCCTCCTCCAAGATAACAGAGTCGTCCGAATGTGGAGACCTTCGCAAAGGTGTACTTTCGCCAACGTAGTCTTGAGACGTAGTTCCATGTGTAGTAGGTTTGCGCAGGTCCGTAGATTTGTGCACAGTGTTGGTAGATGAGAGGCTTCGCCGAGCCTTCGCTTCTTCCTCGAACCTATGTTCCATCATGGCCATCATCTGGTTGTTGAATTGTCTCATAAATTCTCCTGGATCAAAGTTCTGCGTTGATTGAAGCTGCTACGGTGTAGAAGAAGCGTTCGCGGACGCTGATGAGTTGCGTGCCTTGACTTCACTTCGTTGAGAGGTAGGTGGTAGTTCGTCGAACAGCTGGCTTTCTGTGACCGTTGCAGGAGACGATCTACTAGTCGTAGAAGTCGATTGAGTCACTGATCTCGTAGGTACTTGGGGTAGAAGTATCGGGGATCATCAAAAACGTCTGCTTCATGTGGAGGTAGTATCTCTTCGTTGAAGGATTTCTGATGTGTTGACTTAATAAGCCGCGTAGATTTACCCTCCGATCTGGTTGCAGATGCTTTCTTCTGCGACGTAGAAGAAGATGACGTCTTTTTCTTGGCTTGAGTCGGAGTCAACTCTGTTGTAGCTGATCTCTTCTTAGCCCCCGTACCAGCAGACTGTCCCTGCACCTTACTCAAAATAGCACCAGTATTATGAATACAGGCTGATTTCCTGTTTTATCAGCCGTGACTAGAGATGACTTCCTCACCCGATCCATGGCATGTCTATAGATATAAAACAAATATTAATTAAATTGTAGATTTGACAAATCATCACAATAAGTACAGCGCAAGCTGGAAGAACATGGTTTTATGCACGAAGGGCATTGGGGGTGAGGATCAGCCACGGATAACCTGTACCTGCAAACACTGCAATATTCATGATATGTAAACAAAGTTACATAAAATGAAATTATGGCACAAATACAAATAATTTTTACAATTCTTATACATATAAAACAAAGTAGTTATTGCCAAATCCATGCACAGCGTAATTTTGAAGAATAGGACCTAAATAAAAAGGACATAATGCCGTATAAGGGACTCCAGTGCTCGCCCAACCATCCACTTGGGCGAAAGTGGAGAGAGTGACAAATAAGGCTAGTCACAGGACTGTTTGCGCGGGAAAAGGGAAAAGGGAGGTAACTCGTGGGTCAGTGTATTTTTACGTCTGCTTCGGGAACTTCAAGGGATTCAAGTGTTCCACTATCAATCGCAAGGGAAAGGGAGATAAGCAAAAGATCATGAGTCAGGATAAGAATAAATAATTAGTATGATTATGTTTTGGAAATGGACATTCTTACCTGTTTGGAATCTCCATACCCGACAACCACTCGGCATCTCGGGCAGACTCCGAGCATCAAGGACAATGTTCTCATAAGCAGATAGGTCCCACTTCCAGACATCATTTAATGATATCGTCGATGAGAACACTGATCTGGAAATGTAAAGTTATTATCTTTAAGTAAAAATTATAAAAATGCTTCAACATGTACAATTTAACAGATTAGAGAATGAAATAGGTAATATGTGCATAACAAGATAATAAATAACTGTAGAACAAGATAGCTAATAGTGTTACACAAGATAGCTTATACTATAGAACAAGTTCGGCCCATCTATAATACCTACCTCAATTGGTCCCTCTCCTCCCGCAATCTACAGATGATCAAGGTGTTGCCCTGTCTGCTCAGTCTCCTGGCAACCTCAAGCATCAGGTCAGTTGCCTCACTACTGGAAAGAAGCCTGACCTCGACATTCATTCTGTTAAGATTTTCCAACAAAAGGATGCATTGTTCTTTGTTAAGAAATTTTAACTGACTCTCTTGTACATCTACTTTTGTCTCAGCTAATGCTGCCCAGAATGCCATAAGTATTTGGTCATACTTGAACGAGTTCATCATCAAAGACGCTTTGGAAATGAATACTGAAGACACTGCTGCAATTTGTTGTAACTTTGCAAAGAACACCTCGTTATCTTTCATGTCATTCTTGCTCACAACCCCATGTATAACATTAAGGTTTTCACTTGTAAAACGACGTAATTTTGCAGTCACTTCTCTGGCTACTGAGGTGTTGTAATTTGTTATCATTTTAGATTTATGTTCACAGTTCATCACTGTCAGTACAACTGGGGGCTGCTCGGGAAAAGCCAGAAACATATCGCATCTTATTTCAGAAGGTCTCTCTGAAACTGGAAAGTCTAGTGTTGTTGCTAAGGATTCTGTCAAATGCACCAAACACTTCTCGTCATCACTCAAGTCCAGCTCTGCACCAGTGACAAGGTTGCAGTGAAAGAGGGATTTATCAGTTTCCAGGACTGAAAGTAGCATATCCTTAATGTCCACCAAATGGCCTGTCAGACTGACTGGAATTATGTTGACGCCGCCTGTTGATATAAGGATCAGTTAAGTACAATTAACTTCAAGTATAGAGATAAGGGATCATATCTGAGTTAAAAAAGAAACTTCACATTCTTTCTTCAGGGCACTTTAAAAGAACAAGAGATGGTAAGATGGTTAAATTGTTATTATTTCATTGCTGAGATCTGTGTGATGGACTCGATACACTGACAGTGCCATAATCAGTTCCATTAGGCTACACCACCGTTCCAAAACATGGGTATACAGAATGTCAAGTCACAAGAATAAAAATGCGAAATTTCTCAGTTCAATATCGTGTATGGCCGCCCCACGCATTCACCACTGCCAAACACCGTCTCCATCGACTGCCTGATGCTTGTGAACACGTGGTTGGGGATTCTGCGCCATTGCTCTTGCAAGGCAGCGCCAAGTTCGTGCAAATTCTGAGGTTGGTTCGTGAGACCACGAAGCCTTCTCCCAAGTGCATCCCAAACGTGCTCCATTGGATTAAGGTCAGGGGACCTCGATGGCCAGTCCATGACGTTGATTCAAGCGTTTTGAAGGAAATTTCGTGTCAACATCGCGATATGCGGCCGAGCATAATCATGCTGGAACTGTAGATCTGGGCCATGAGCCGCCATGAAAGGAACGAGTTCAGGGGTGAGCACCTGGTTGCGGTAAGCAGCAGCTGTGAGGTTTCCACGGATGACCAGAAGTCGGGAACAGTTGTTCCCACAGAAAGCACCCCCACACCATGCAACTTCCGCCCCCAAATCTGTCGACTTCCTGTACACAGCATTGGGCATACCGTTCACGACATCGTCTCCAGACTCTATGCCTGCCGTCCGCGAATCTGAGGGTAAACCTGGATTCATCGCTAAAGACGACTCGATTCCAGTCTCTCTGGGTCCATCGGAGGTGATGTTGGGCCCACAGCAGACGTTGACATTGATGAAACGGCGTCAATATTGGCCCACGATATTGACGTCGAGAATGGAGATTGCAAGCCCGCAACCTTGGGCGATCAGAAGTGGTGCCAGTTTGTTGTAGACGACCTCGCAAGTCATACACTGTATGACGGCTGCATCCCATTGCTCTTGCGACGTCAATAACTGATCTTCCCGCTTGCAACGTTGCACATTTAACAATCGTGGCATTTCAAGTACCGTTAGAACTGTGGTTTAAAAGTGTTTTTTCAATTCTTGAGGCCAATGCAAACACGTGCATATGAAGAAAACTTCGATGCGAAGATCACGTGATCGACTGCACGTGCAAACCTGATTTGGCACTAACGTCATTTGCACGACGAATGGCTGGGTTTGAGTGGGTTTTGCTAACGTTTTTCTAGAGTCGAAAGATAGGGATCCCATTTCGGATACATAAATGTATCATCAGAGAAAAATTATTCATTATTTTTCAAATTACATTTTGTGAAGTTTCTTTTTTGACTCAGTATTTAATATCAATTTAATAAGATCTACATTCTCAGTGTGGCGCATATGCATGTCTTTACCTTACTGTTTTACACATGTTGTACAGTTGGTCTCATGACAATCTATACATAATAAAGGATGAAAAAAACATTATAAGGGATCATACAGGGAGTGGTTGGAAACAATTCAAATGAAACAAATTGAGATAACATTCAATGAAACATGGGACAAATTAAGCAAAATGCAACCAACAAGTGATGAGTGAATTCCAGAATGGTTGGATAACAGCTGTATGACCTCAGTAATAAAAAGAGTTGACAGTGAGTGAGTGAGTTAAGATTTTAAGTCACATCAGCAATATTTCAGCCATATCGTGACTAAAAGCAAGTTATAATTTCATAATGAATAAAGGTAAATTATCAAACCCTGTCAACGAAGGACAGTAAAATAACTAGTTTATCACAGATTTCAGTTTTAAACTAGTAATAAACTCTAAAACATTTTAACTATATATGACAATACAACATGAAAAGAGGCTATAGATTGCCCACAGCTGAAGGTAGATGACCAATTTAGGACCATGGGGACTTACAGTACATTCACTTCCTGCATGGATCTTAGCTGGATTTACACCATCCCTTCAGTCGTCAGCAAGTTTAAACAATTTAGCCATACATTACAATAACATATCTTCTACGGTTAAACATAATGGTATGTTTAAAGTTACTTTGAATGTTTTGGGACTTACGTACCCCCACAGGAGGAAAAAGAATTGACAGAGGCATGCAGTCATTTGCACGATGTGCACAAGTTTAAATACGGTTAGACGCTTGAATAATTAGGCTGAGGGATAGGCATGATTGAAACTAGGTCAACAAATGTCTTTGGTGGTCGATACCATACGTTTGTGAACGTGAGCTCGTCTCCAGTCTCGGAAGCATGCATTCACATTGCACTGACCGACAGTTAAAGACTTTGGAATAGAGATGAAGATCGTGTCACTTAGACAGACCAAGACTGGTTACCAGAGGAATTAACATATTATTTAGACTTGGACATGGTGCTCGATCTGGCTCAGAAAAGAAAATATTTCAGCATTCAGTTCATGACCAATATCGAGAAGGCTTAATCATGATATAGGGTAAGCATAACATTCTGGATTTGTACGTGACTCTATGTTGGTAAAGTCAAGACTTCACTTCATCCTAAGAGATGACAATGCAAGAATCCATTGTCCACAAGGAGTAGCCTGCCCCGTCACACTCCCCTCACCATGTGGTGTGAGCTGATGACATCATCGTGTTTTCTGGGCTCAAACAATCATTCCAAATGTCACATATTAAACTTTCATATCATCATCTCTGTTAAATGTCAATATTGTCATCTAATCATTGTTGTTGGTCCCCTTGTACTTATATAGCTATCTATTTCCTAGATTAAGGATAAAGGAGTAAGAATACACTCCAAAATGTCCTGTACCTTACCTTACAGAAGTCAACATCCATAAATCTTCATCATAACCCTCTGTAAAACAGAGGAATGAAACAGATTTCCCATTCATTTCTTCTGATCCTATATTTGTTTTTAATTACATACGGATTATCAAACATAAAAAAACAGTGTGTATATCTAAGCAACAGCAGTACAGTACCTTTCATCATGTAATGACGTTTAATTTCAGTAATATCTCCTTTCGCTTGCTGTAACCGTGGTCGGAGAAAGTCTTTACTGTGGAACACTTGGCAACCATCTTCTTTCCTGTTTGATGTCTCGGTCTGAACATATTGCAATTTGCAACAATCAGTAGCAGTATAACATGGAGATAGTTAGTGATGAACAGCTTATTTCATACGTCTTGGTGTGGCTACGTACATGCACAATCTCTATTTTCGGTTTCAGATGTATGCACAATCATCCTGTACGCATCCTGTAAATTCATTTACAAATAAATGAATGATCAACAAACATGAATATAAATTTTGGACTTACTCTTTGATTCTTTGTACTATGTGACCTGTGTTGAGTGCCTGCAAAAACAAGCATTTAGGTATTCCACTTTAATCTATCACTGGAGAGAATTAAGGGATGACTGAAAATAAAGTTAATGCGTTATAAACAACATTGTCCATAAAAACCTTGCATTAACATAAATGAAAGTATCTGCCATGACTGTAAAAAGTATAATGCATGAACACTATATACCTTTGAGAAACTTCCATTGCCGGCCAGAGGGTTCGAACGGATAACTGTACGTTTCATGAACCAAATTTTCAAACTTTGTCAGGTCGGTGCCTTCCACATCAAAAACCGAGATTGTTGACGAGTAGACAGATCTGCAGCAAGAACATAGTGTCAGTGAACTTCAGAACTTCTTATCCTATATGTTTGACAAATTATCATGAACATCTGAAGTCAGACAGGTTACTAACTACGGTCATCACGTTTAGAAACGTGTAGAACTTTCCTGAAATTTGTTATATGAGAGCTAAAAAACTAATCTTTTGGCAGAATCAATTTGATTTTTTTAGTTTACAAAAGGTAGGTTAACCTTTGATGGTTTGATAATTCAAGTTGTCTCAAGTACCTTCTGTGAATGTGACAGAAACTCCCTCTTGAAAGAATGATCATGGTTAGTTCTTTGAGACAGGGCTATGTTGTTGCTTTTGTTGTACCCTACAATCTCTTTCTCTGTGCACAGACTTTTTGGAGCTTTGGGAGCAAGTACAAAGGAGGAATGGTCATGTCTATAGGTTTTGGGCACTCATGAAGAGCAACCAGCTCATCTCGTCCCAAATTAAAAGATAATTATACTGAAATTAATCACGTGAGAAAAGTTTGTGCAAAATACGAAAGAAGCATAAGAACTGAAAATGTAAGCAGCAGGTACAGATTGATCGTGTGTATTTTCATTCAGAACCTAAACTCAATGAAAATTCCAAATATGTGTAACAATGTAAGTAGTCCAAAACATTCTGACAATCTGCTGGTTCTTATTTTCTGTTTGTTTTCATTGTGACCAAGAGATATAGGAGAGGAGAACTTCCATCGTCGGTGTGCGTCAAATCAGTCATGGGGTCACGCTTTCAGAAACTATAATCATATGATAATATGTTGTGATGAATCTTGGAAATCATTAGAGTACACCTATTTATTTAACTGTCCCTTGCTACAATATCTTTCCCATGCATGGTCTAAAACTAATGAGCAAGTGTATGCAACAAAAGTAGGCGAACAGATACACAGAGTGAAATCTGAATTCGACTTTGTTTACATTTCAAACAAATGGTCCTTTTCCAGCGCGGCATCTAATATATTTCGTTAGATTTCACTGAAACACTTAGTATTGGTGACAAAGACCATTTGTCATTTTATTTTGAACTGTATGAGGAATTCAAGGATTCGTGTAAGAGTAGGTGTGACGTGATTTTATAAACACTCTGCAATATGGCTGAAAATTCACATTGACGTTAACTGTGTGTATTTCGTAATGTGTCAAAACTGGCCATATGCATGTAATTTTCAGTATATTTGCCTTACAATGAGCGGATGATGTCATAGAAAAACAGAATAAAAAACTGCCAGTTGCATTTTCCTTCGTGATGTATTTGGATATGGTATCGACAGGTGGGAAGAGTGGAAGAGGTGGGACAGATATTTACGATTTATGTAGGAATTAAATAACAAACGTAGAATGCCGACATATTCACCGATGGCAAGCTAGATGTAATGCATAAACATGCTAGTTTTTGAGAAAAACGATACTGTTGAAAGACGGCTGACTCAGGTTGAATGTTGTACAATTTGGTTACGTGGTAACACTGTTTGTACAATTTATACGGTTTTTTTTCAAACTGCAAAGTCATCACAGTGTGGAACTGACCACATAGCCAGCTGACGGCCAGGCAACAGCTGGATTAAAGCAGTAGCCTGCGCATCGACACACTCGAACCACACCTATACCTGCACCACGTGAAACGAGTCTAACGACGTCATTCGTTTATCGGTCTGGCACCAATGACGTCATTTTCAAGGGACATAAGCCACGGTGTGTTTATTGTGGACATTGAACTCTCGGTTAATGTGGAAAATTTGAAGCGATATAACGCAAAACATACATTAGTTACTTCTGATATTTCTACTGTTTTGGCTATACAACTAATTGGGAAACACCTTTTATGATGAAAAAGTGCAAGACGAATTTTCGTGTAAACTTGCCCTTATATGTATCCAACCACGTTTTACCAAACAGAATATGTGTTTAATTTTTGGCTACATTTGTCTTGATCGGTAACATCTGAATGGGTGGTGTAAATCAAGCTAGAGTTTATACAGGTAGCACTGCAAGTCCCAATGGTTTTTATTATGGTGACCAGCACCCCTGAAGAGCAACCTCCTTGTGGTGGTTGCTTGGTAACGCCAATGGCTCTTCGCCCCTGCGTGGACCCGGGGTCGAATAGGTCCACAGCACCCCATTGCTGGTCATAAGAGGCGACCAAATTGGGCGACCCGTTTGCCGTGGGTTGCGTCCCTGTGTCGGCAGAGGAAGGGAGTTTGGTGGTTGAGGATGAAGGAACCGGCAATAGTGCTCCTTAATCCAACACACCACTTCGACCCTGACTTTGCCTAGACGGGTGGTAGAATCGGCTTTCACGCCATGTCCTGTGCATGAAATATAGTATTTTCACATTTTTGATATTGTAAAATCTCCTTTGACATGTTCAAATCCTAATCTTTGTCAAAATGCAAATCGGTTTAGATCCCTATGCACAGAAGGCGGTGGCTCATGGGTCAGTCTGGTGATGCTGACCTCTGATTCCTGTACGTCTCCAATTGATTGTCACGGGCAGAACCATCCTGACCTTTGACCTGGTAGACAGCTACAGCTTTTCGTGTCAACCTTGCTGGAGTATAACACCCCCTTATACCTGGTCTTTGCAGCTTGGAGATCCGCTACAGAATAACATCGTCCCTGTTGACACTCCATGGTGGGTGGGGAGAGGGGGTGCGGAAACACAATCCCAACGACATGGCTTCCGAACACCCTGGTTCAAAACGAAGAAACACCGACTCCGACAATTCCTCGTCTGACGAGAGTACGCCCTTCCGACCTGACTACTGGTCACGCTTCCTGATCATTGAAGCTTGTGACAAGCAACCGCTGCAACTGAATCCATTTGCAATCTCCAAAGGTATCGCTGGTATCTGTGGAGAGGTTGCCAATGTCACCAAGCTCTGATCCGGCTCACTCCTGATAGAATGTACTAGGAGACAGCAATCCTTGAATCTACTCAAAATCCAAGAATTTGTCAATATCAAGGTTGCTGTCTCAGCGCACAAAACCCTGAACACATGTAGAGGTATAGTACATGACAGAGCTCTATGCCTGTCTGACATGACTGAGGAACAAATTGTCCAGGAACTTCCTCAGCAGTCTGTCACAGCTGTGAAGTGATTCACTTTTAAGAAGGATGATGTTGTTCAACCCACAAACACCTATCTCTTTACGTTCGCCCAATCTAAGATCCCCGACTCGATTAGAGCTGGTTACTGTAGTATTGGAGTGGTGGTATACCCAACCCTCTCCGGTGCTACAACTGCCAAATGTTTGGCCATGGATCCAAGTCCTGTCATTCCTCTGCTGTTTGTTACCGCTGTGGTGATAAACATGAGGGCAATGACTGTACCAAGGAAGTGAAGTGTCCAAACTGTGGTGGTAACCATATAGCCTCCTCCAAATCTTGTCCTGTACGGCAGCGTGAATCAGAGATTATAAAGATCAAACATGAACAGAATATCTCCTTTCACGAAGCTAAAAAGAGGGTTCTAAGTTTATCTGCAGCCCCCTCAACAAGTTACCTTCTCATCTTCTGCTGTCTCTCGTCCTTCCGTCACACCCATCACTACTGCAACTATCTCGTGTCAGACCGATCTGACATGGATCAACTCTTCTCAACCAATCTCAACCCCTTCATCTCCAAAACCAAACGTCAAAACTTCTGAGTCACAAACACCAGAACAAATGCCAAAGCCAGAAACAGAAACTATGCGCCATAAAAGGAAAGGAAAGAAACTAGAGAGACTAAAGCCGCATGAGGAACTACCAAAGCCCAAATCCAAAACCACCTCTCCTTTAGATGTCCCCCTCGAGGTCCACAACTCCTTTGGACCTCTGGATATGGAGGTCACTCCATCTCCAACTGACACAAATAGGAGTTCCTCAAATGCCCCCTCACGGTCACGCAACATGTCACCAGTGGAAGCACCATGAATCCACAAAGCATGATTCAATGGAATTGCAGAGGACTTAAGAATAATTTTAATGAACTACAGTTATTGATTCAAGATCTCAAACCGTCTGCGTTTTGTCTCCAAGAAACCTACCTAAAAGGGACTGCTAATTTTGACATCCGTCGGTACAGTTCCTACCACTCCTTTTCTCCTCCTGGTGCTAAAGCATCCTCCATAGCCCTGTTCCACTTGACACTACCCTACAAACTGTTGCTGTCCGCATGACTCTGAACACAGGGTTTACGCTATGTTCACTCTATCTTCCTCCCTCCTCAGCTGTCCGCCTATCAGATCTTCAGAACTTGTATGATCAACTACCAAAGCCATGCATAATCATGGGCGACTTGAACGGCCATAACCACCTATGGGGGAGTACTGATACGAATAATAAGGGAAAGGTCCTTGAAGAGTTTCTCTCCAATAATGATGTATGCATCTTCAACGATGGATCAAACACCTACCTCCATCCTGCCACTGGATCATACTCTGCTCTCGAGCTATCACTTACAGATTCTAATCTTTTAAATAAGTTTGAATAGTCAGTCCACTTCCCAACAATTCTTACTCCTATCAACCCCACGGATGAACCACCATCAACAAGATGGAATTTTACTAAGGCCAATTGGCCTTCATTCCAAACCCTATGTTCTGAAAAACTTAAGCTGGACAACTTCAGGAATGTTCCTGATCCCATGGAACTATTTTCAGACGTCCTAAATGCCATCGGAGACAAAACTATTCCTAAGTCCTCTGCAAACCCGCACATACGCAAACCATGGTTTGATACAAACTGCAAACAAGCTACAAAAAATAGGAAGAAGGCGGAAAAATATTTCCGACAACATCCTACAGTGCACAACCTGAATGCTGTGAAAATGACAAATGCCAGGGCAAGACGTACCTACAAACAAACTAAACTCCGATCATGGAGGAAATATGTGTCTAAAATCAACTCCCGCACACCCATGTCCAAGGTGTGGAACATGATTCAAAAGATTAAGGGCAAAGGGTAAAAATCTGGAGTTCGCCATCTGAAAGATGGTGACTCTCTCCTAACAAATAAATCTGAAATTGCAAACAAACTTGGCGAAACTCTGGCAAACCACTCCTCCTCATCAAATTATAACCCTCAGTTCCAGAAATACCAAACCCAACAAGAAAAGAAATCAGTCAATTTTAACTCTGATAATGGTGAAGATTACAATGAACCTTTTTCTCTCCATAAACTACGTACTGCCCTCGGGCAGGATCTGATGAAATTCATTATCAGCTCCTGAAACACCCCCCTGATTCAAGTTTGGAAACACTACTCAATATATTGAATGACAACTGGACAACCGGAAATTTTCCTCCTTCGTGGCACAATGCCATTATCATCCCTATACCAAAGCCCGGCCACGATCATACTGACCCCTCACACTACCGTCCTATATCACTAACAAGCTGCGTTTGTAAAACCAAGGAGCGCATGGTCAACAATCGTTTAATCTGGTACTTGGAGACCAATGACCTCCTCAGTGACCTCCAATGTGGTTTCCGAAAAAAACGAAGTACCATTGACCATCTGGTGCGTCTGGAATCATTTATCAAAAACTCCATTGTCAACAAACATCATACTGTATCTATCTTTTTCGACCTAGAAAAAGCATTTGATACAACGTGGAAACATGGTATCCTAAAAGATTTACACGAATTTGGATTGAGGGGTAGACTACCTCAGTTCATATCTCAGTTTTTAAACAACAGACAATTTCAAGTTCGGGTGGGTTCCACATTGTCTGATTATTTCCACCAAGATCAGGGCGTCCCTCAAGGCAGCATTCTGTCTGTCACACTTTTCAGCATAAAAATTAACAGCCTCACTAACGTTTTGAACAGTTGTGTTGATGGATCCCTTTTCGTGGATGATTTCAATATTTCATGTCGTGGTAAGAACATGCACACAATAGAAAGGCAGCTACAACTCTGCCTTAACAAAATCCCAAAATGGGCCAATGAAAATGGTTTTAAGTTTTCAAAATCCAAAACAAATTGTATTCACTTTTGCCGTAAATACAAACCACACAAGGATCCAGACCTATCTTTAGAGGTACTCCCATCAAGGTAGTGGAAGAGGCCAAATTCCTGGGACTCATAATCGACCGTCACCTGAGATTCTTACCACACATAAAATATTTGAAAACAAAGTGCTTGAAGGCTCTGGACTTGCTAAAAGTCGTTTCAAATACAGAGTGGGGAGGGGATCAGACTACCCTCCTTCACTTGTACAGATCATGTGTTTGCAGTAAACTAGATTACGGCTCCATTGTCTATGGTGGAGCCTTCAAAAGCAATCTAGAAAATTAGATTCTATCCACCACCAAGGCCTGAGGCTCTGCCTGGGAGCTTTTAGGACCTCTCCTGTAGACAGTCTATATGCGGAGGCCAATTAACCCTCCATTGAACAACGCCGCATTAAACTCTCACTGCAGTATATCACTAAACTACGTTCAAATGAGTCCAGTCCAGCATACAATAGTGTTTTCAACCCTCTCTATGAAAACCTGTTTCCTAATCTGCCAAGCCTGGTTCCACCACTTGGAATCAGAATCCAACCACACATATCTGCAGCTAAAATCGATCTCAATATCATTGCACCTTACCGACTTCTGTCCTCACCACCGTGGCAAATGGTGAAACCACAGGTCTGTCTTACCCTCACCAAACTCAAAAGTCTGAAACAAATCCTTTGGTGTTCCAACAGGAATACAATCGGTTACATTCAAAGTATAACACCCATAGGTCCATTTTCACAGACGGATCCAAGGACCATGGCCAAGTTGCCAGTGCTACAGTCATTGGATTCAAGACTGTCTCCTCTAGGATTCCCGACAACAGTTCCATTTTCACCACTGACGCCAAAGCTATCTTCTCAGCTTTGACCTACATTCAACTGCAGAATCATTCCAAAAACTTCATTGTTTTTACAGATTCATTATCTTGCCTTCAAGCACTTCAAAATGTTACTTCAAGTCACCCAATCATCCAGGACATTTTTGAACTTTACTACGACCTTTCTACTGGCCAATGTGACATCGTCCTCTGCTGGTTGCCGGGTCACGTCGGCATAGCAGGTAACACAAAGGCCGATCTGTTCTCCCACGTGAGCGCTCATCTGAAAGTGAACTATCTGAGGGAAGTTGACCTATGTCATAAATTGTAGCTGTGTAAACGTGACTAACGAATTGCCTGCTTTTAAATTTAGTGCTATGACATTCTCTGTTTTTAAATTACAATGTAATGAATATATGTCTTTGAAACAAAACTAATTTTGACTTTGTACTTACAATGTGTATTAATGCAGACTCGTTCTCGTCACTATATGGCTGAAATAATGCCGATGTGACGTAAAGCCCAACTCAACTCAACTCAAACTCGTACAGCCCCTACAGTAAAGTACTGCGTTGTATCCCGTTTCTTGGTTTGCAGTTGCTTCACGCAACTAACGTCACTGGTGGAAACATTACGTTCATGTTTTCCGACGTTTAATATTTCTCACAAGTTTTCAGCGACGCGGTAACGTTCGCAATGTTTACATTCCCACAATGCAATCGTGGAATGTTGCTTGACTACTCAGCTTCGTCTGGATGTACGGATCTAAACTTACGTTGGTAGTAGAAATGCGACGTTCATATGGTTAACGTTAATCACAGATGTAATTAAAATAATTTAGAGAAGATATTTAATCTTAACGTAAACCGTCATGAACCTGTTTATCATTTGTTTTTCTGGTAACGTTCGTCTTAACGTAGGGGGGCAGACACATCAATAGAACAGCGCGCCAGTTAGCCCTGTGCGAGGATTCTTAATTTAGGTCACCGACACCGTTGATTGTTTTCTGCCTTAGATTAATCGTAATTATCCTTAGAAAGTTTTAAATTTGGCATCTTAGAAAAGAAATACCGTTCGCTCTACCACCATGTATAGTGTAATAAAGCACACTTTCGCCCTGAACTATTATAACGCTAAAGCACTCGGACGCAAGCGTCCTCGTGCATTAACTATAATAGTTCAGGGCCAAAGTGTGCTTTATTACACTTTACATGGTGGGTAGAGGGAACTGTATTTCTTAAGTAACAGGCTGGTTTTAAGTCTAAGATGTGATAATCTATTATTTTAGTGTCATTTGTCGACGGGTATTCGTATTGTCTAAGTTTGTTTTTGATAATATACGCTTATAGTCACGTATGGCTGACATACTGCCGATGTGACTCTAAATTCTCACTCGTTCACTCATTCATAGGGTTAAAGCAAAATGTGATGGTGTTGATTATAGTACCGATCCATTAGTTAACAAGCTGGAGAAACATTTGTAGCATTATGAGATGTGTCACTTCCAAGTGATTTGATCAAATAATTTAGGCAGCGATGCTTCTTACATTCATCCATTAATTTTATGCTATTTGAAGCCTTGTCATTGGGAACTACATACATGTTGTGGGACGTATTTTGTATATTTAAGGCATATATACCGTTGATCTAAGATCTACAAGACGAAGAACATCAAGTCTTTGCCTTTATCTGATTTAGTATATGTCATGTCACTATTATCTAAAAGCAAAACAACAAAGATTGTTTAGAGTATACATACAGTTTATGTGATTCCACATACCTGAGTCTGCTCTTTTCTTCCTGTGAGTTGCATATCAGTAGAGTGTCACCCAGTCTACTCAGTCTCCTGGCCACCTCCACCATCAGAGTCGTGGATTCAATGCTGGTCTCCTGTCTGCAGGAAACATATCTACTTTCGATGTTCTCCACAAGACACACACACTGATCAGAAGTGAGAAAGTGGATACAACTGTCGCCTACTTCACCTGTTTCTGTCAGGACTGACTTTGTCTCAGCAACAGCTGCCCAGAAAGCCATCATCACGTGCTCATATTTTGCCAGAGTCATCAACAGAGAAGACTTTGGAACAAAGGATGCAGATAATGCTGCTATTCTCTGTAACTTTATGTAGCACGTGTCTGTGTCTATGAGGTCACTCAAACTCAAAACTCCATGTATCACATTAATGCTTTCATTGGTAAACCTGCGTAGTTTTGAAGTCACTTCTCTAGCCACACTGGTGTTATACTTCCTTATCTCTTCAGTTTCAGTGTCATTGTCAATCAGAGTCAGCAGCATGAGGGGT